CGCTCCCCCCCGTGTTCCCATGCATGTTCACACACGTGTGCTTGCGCAGCGGGCGCCCCGCTGGCGCTCCGTCTGTGGGAGCCATTTGGGCCCCGCGAGCGCCGCACAAGCAGCACCCGAGGCATGAGCCAAGATGGCGCCCGCGCAGGGAGCGCTGGCTTAAAATGGCTGCCAGAAACGCACTTCAAGCCGCACCACCCCCACAATCACACCCGAAGCACCTGGGGCAGGAGAGAGGGGGTGAGCTTCCATAGCGACTGTACTTGGAGTAATAAAAGTAACTTACAAATTGAAGGCCTGTTTTGCACATTTTCTCTGTTTCACTGCGGCCACTTACACCTTTAAATGCAAGGAGAGAAGATTTCTACTAACTTACTATTGCTTTCCAGTTAAAAGGCAAATAAAAAAAAAAAAAAAGTTGTAATTCTGGCATGCTAAGGAAGTGGATCCTGATGAATTCTCCAGTAACCATTGCTTCGTATTCAACTGCAGAGAGAAAAGACAACCTCATTCGACAGCTGCTACAGGCCTGGCAACCCTCACACGTGCACACACAGCTCCATCCATGCACCAAAATAATCTTACCTATGTGTGTATAAAACAAAAAAAAAATCACTCATTTGGCTAACAAAGTTAGCCCGTACAGAAGCAGTTGTTCTTCTGCAGTGTACTGGCTGTTACACAAAATACACAGCTACTCCCCAAAATTGCACGTAGTATAAATTCACTGCCATGTCACCCAGCAGAGGGTTTTTTCTTTAAAAACAAAAAGGAGGAAAGACTAGAGTTAATATTTTATCCCTAATGTCCATACTGTGCTCTCACCCCTCCATCTGTATCTGTCCTCAATTCAGACACAACAGCACAGTGAAGCTGTGAACTGCTGCACAGTGCAGCAGTGTCACATTAAGCTGTTTTGCTCATCTCACACAGATGCTGTGTTTAGAAAATACTAATTACTCAAGAACGATACTTCAGCTTCCCAAATTACATCCTGAAAAAAAAATCATTAGAATGAAAAAACTATTCTTTACTTCTGTATTTGATGATTCCTGCCAAGGAAGCCATCCCAACCTATTAGCAGTTCATGACCAAGGCAAGGGGACATTTTCAAATCCCGTGACTTGGGCAGAGTCTCCTTGAGAAAAGGCTGCCCAGGCTCCGCTGCAGCAGCCTCGTCACCCCCCTCCTATGGCACCATGAGCAGCAACGTGGCACAGGGGGACCAAGGTCCCCTCTCAACATCACCAAGAAGGGTCCATCTGCTGAGCACTGCCACTACCCATCTGTTAATGCAGAGACTGTTGTAACCACCCTCTCCACTCTTCTTATTAGGCCCTTCTGAAAAGTATTTACATGCATTTTTACCTTTAAGCATATATTTTAGTCCTAAGGATATGTTTAGGTATTGTCCTAAATAGCCTCTTACTGCTTTTTTTTTTAATCCATAGGAAGGAAGATTTCCTGCATACGCAGAACAAATACATAAGTAGTAAAACAAATCCCTTTTTCAACCCACCCACCAGGAAAAGCCTGTCAAGTTCACCACAAAGCAAACCCTGAATACTCAAAGAAAGAGCTAGCTTTCTGCTAAGACAGTAAGACTCTGGGTTAAGAACAACATTAGAAATTAAGATTTGGGGTCTTGAACTGAGAGACTTTTATTTTTAAACATGTTAAGTAGAAAACAGCAGCAGCCACCAAAAACAGTCTTGGCTCTAACTGAAGTGGAATTTGAATGTAAATGGTCCTCCTCCCGACCCAAAGGGGTTGAATCCTTGCCACGTGTTCCAGTTCCTGTGGAAAGGGTTGCCCCCACCCTGCTGGCTCTCTGCATCCAGGGGGTCCTCTCCCGCATCAAACTTCCGCCTCATTTCTGAGGGAAACAAAAAGACAAGGTGAAAACATAGCCCAGGAGTTTGGGCAATAAAACCCCACAGCCTCAATAGCCCTTTCAGAAAGCTGCAGGGCTAATGACAACTCACGCTAGCAGCATTTGGAGGAAGCTGCCTAGTTACAGATTGACTGATCTTTGAAAGTGCCCTGGAGACTGACAGAGGGAAAAAAATAAGCTCAATTCCCTTTCACAACTTAGTAAAGTTTAATTCAATCAAGTCATTAATGCAGCCTCTGTACGTCCAACAGGACATACGTGAACTTCAAGGTCTGCCATACATTGGCCAATTGCATCCCACAAATAATTGGGAGAGTTAATAAGGAGAAATAACATGACCAAACATGGCAAATGTGGAAGATGGTCCCAAGGAAAGCACAGCAGGGCCATGTGACAACAACTTTGCTAATGAAAGCCCAAGGTCCAGAGGACCACAGCATATGAACCCTCGTTACCTGGGTCAGTGAGGACTTCCTTGGCAGCTGCTATATCAATGAACTTTTTCTCTGCTTTCTTCTTTTCTTCCTCACTCTGGAAGTTGTCAGGGTGCCACTGGGATGCCAGTTTTCTGTAAGCTTTTATGATTTCTTGCTTTCGAGCATTTCTAGGTGGAAAAAATTGTGATAGTTTATAAGAACTCTAGTTGTTTGTGTGCTAAACTACTGAAACTACGAGTTTATTTTAAACAAGAAATCAGATATAAGGACTTCAAGAAAACTGGTTAACCTTTTGCAGATGGCACTCGAGACACTTCATGAAAAAAACAGAAGAAACTGGTCGCTATATTAAACAAAAAAATACTTTACCACCCACTTACTTTCTTTGGGAATATCCCACTAGGATACACAGCAACAACCAAGCAAGTGCAACAGGAAAGTAAAGGTAGCAGAAACACATGAATGAAGTATCATGCAGCACAACAAATTCAGGTCATTAGTCCTAGAGGTACCAGTCTAATACCCAGCTTTCAGGTAAACACGTCAGATACTATTATCTCACCTTTTCACTCCTAGAATTTTGTAGTAATCTCTTTTCTGTGATTGCTTCAACATCCTCTGGGCTCGTTCGAGGCCCTCACGAATCTGCTGGTCATTTTCACTATTGGCTTGCGCTGTTTCATAGTCCTTAATAGCTTTTCAGAGAAAATAAATAAATAAATATAAATCACAAGATTTCTTAAACTAAAGGTTCAATCCAAGCCATCTCCAAAATGAAGTTTTGCTGTTATAGTCAGTAAACGTCACAACTTTCCACCTTTACCCTGCTAACATTCCCCCACGCAAGTCTGAAACCCCTGGGGCAGAAGTTGCATCTTCCACCTATTTGCTGGATAGTTTTCTTTCCTTATGTTCACTATACTTTTTGAAAAGGGAAGGTTACCAGCAGCAGGACAGAACTCTCTTTAGATGCTGCACGGATTCATATAAAAGCCTCTGGAACCCGGATGTAACAGGAACCAAGCAGCAAGTTTCAGTGACCAGTATCTGAATAGCCAAATTCACAGTCAGTCAGTCACAAATAGTGCTGTAATACTGAAGGCCGCATTATACAAAATCCGGACACTAAAATATCTCCCTCTCCCACACTGCAGTCAATCCACATGGTAGAAACACTTCAGTGATAATAAACAGATTTCAGATATGTGTATGTTTATTTACGTAAGATGAAATAGGTAGCACTGGTAGCAAAAAAATCCACAATTACTGCTTCTTATGCCTACATATAACAGACAGTTCTATCTTAAATTCTTATTTCAAAGACAGGCTCTCCTGCTTCTATTTTAAGAACTGCATTTCTTAGGATTGAAAACAAGAGAGATATTGTAATGCTTGTGTGTATTTCGAAGAGATCCTATTTCCATACTTTTTGAAGGTAAGTGTTATTAACACACGTAATAACTGAAGATACAAATTTCAAATGTTCTTTCACTGTTACAATCCTGGAAGTCCCAGGCTCCCCGAGTTAAGACAAGCACTTGCATCGGGTGATTTCCGAGCAGATGCTGTTTCCCAGCAGGAGTTACATTTGTTTTACACTGTTTCTGAGCAAGGCTGCGGGAAGCACTAATAAATTTGTAGTGCTCAGACATCTGATACTGCTACAACCTTGTCTGGGTTATTGAAAAATAAAATGCAGAACGGATTTTCTGTGCCATGACAGTTTCATATGCTCTTACAAACAAAACGCAAGCTTCCTGTTCACATTCTGATTTGCTGCTTGAACAAAGAATTTCACTTTCTGCTGCTTTTTTCAACAATTTGCCCAGTCATTGAAAGAACAAAAGCCTATCCCCATGTGTGCGTCTGATATATGCAGCTAAAACTGATAAAAATAATGAAAAAGCAGGGATTTCATTATGCTGCTTTACTGCCCCAGTAATTCTGGGCACCAGGGTACTGAATCTGCTTGGTGCAAGGAGGGGAGGCCTCACACATGCCTCAGGTCTGCTCGTCCTCGCGGAGCCTGACACTGTCTCCAGCACCACAGCTGGGGCACAGCCTTGCACTGACAGGACTGGCTTTTTCTCTTCTCTTTTCTCTAAGCCTCACTTAAGGCCTGCAAATGTTAAGTACATGGCAGCACCTTAAAGATGCTACAAAACGACGTAATGGCACCAATTAGTCAGTCCCTATTTTCCTGTGTTGTAGATGGGGCCAAGTAACAATCCTACAGTACTTTGTCCTGTGGGACATGAGGAATGGCCAAGAGGTCTGGAACAATCCTAGGTGACACTGTTGTCAAGAAAATTCTAGAAAGAAAGAAAAAAAATAAGTACCCAAAGCTGTACTTATTTGGGCACTTTCCTCACTCTGGGGTTTGCTTTTAGTCTCCCAGGGAATTAGTCTCCCAGGGAATCCCCAGAGCTGACCTGAGAAAAAAACTGCCCTAACTCTCCCTGCTAACACTCCTGGGAAGAGGGGCACCTGGTGCCAAGGGCACGGGGCTGCTGCCAGGCTGCAGACCAGCCCTGCTCGAGGGGCTGCAGCAGGCGCCTGGCCGCAGCCTCGCAGGGGCCCGGCCGCCCAGCCAGCCAGCAGGAGATCCACAAAGCTCTGCGCTTCATCTCCAGCACCGCGGGGCACGTGGAGAGCAGCAGCAAGAAGCACAGCAACGAATCAGGGCTTCCTCACGCCACCTGCCTCTGCCTGCATCCATCAGCAGCGCTCACCTGGCGTGCAGCACAGCCAGCTCCTTTGCTGGGGGCAGCCCCCACATCCCTCGCCGGGAGCCGGGCAGTTCCCGCAGAGCAGGGCACCACGGCAGCCCCGTCCCGTGCAGGACACACTGCCCCGCACGCAGCAGCATTAACGGCACTGGGGACCCTCCCTCAAGCGCACGGCAGGACCAAGCACGTCCGGGTGGCAATTTCTGCAACGTGACATGAGTAACCTCCAGTGAAGCATTCCAGGGCTCTCCTCCCTTCAGGAGGGTCATTATCCCATTATCTCCCCCAGAAAACTCAGAAATTCAGCGAGAGTGAATTTCTAAAGTGCTTGCTGCTGCTTTCGCTCTGCTTCAAGTATGTTTGAGTAAGCAGTATCCTTCCTAAAAGATCCTGGACCTAAGCCCACACTCTCGAAGGCAACTCTGCTGCACAAAGGTAAAAACCACATGCACTAATCAAGACAAACTTAACAGAAGGTACTTGTGTTAAATTGCTGACTGAGGTGAAAGCATAGTATAGAATTAAAGTGCATGTTAAGAGCTTTTGCAACATTGCCTGCATCTTAAAGGCTCCCCAAATATATGTAGCAACTGTACATCACTATACCTTCGTCATATAAGTCTTCTAACAAATAAGCTTCTGCTCTGTCTTTCAAAGCATTCACGTTGGCTGGTTCCAGCTGCAGAACTTCTGTACACACTTGTATGGCTTCTGTAGCCTGCTGATTCTAAAGAGGAGGAAGAAAATAAAAATTGTGGTTTTCTTTTTCTTTTTAAAAGATAGACACTTACAGAGGGACAGAGAAGGAGAATTACCTTTGATAAACAGTGGCAGATCCTTTCTTTGGCACGAGTAGCATAAACGGGGACTTCTGGCTCAGTTTTCATTACAGAATTGTATTTATCGATAGCGTCTTCATATCTGTTTTAACCAGAGATGAGCACAGTACCATGAAGTTTAATAACTATTTCAGACTGCTGTCAGAGAAATTTAGATTTTCACATCTTCACAGCCATGCATCTTGACTATAACAACCTGAGGGGTCTGACATGAGGCAGCACTATGAAGAAAATGTTCAGCCACTTTAAAAATCATATTCCCATTCCCTCTTTTTGTGCTAGGAGACACAAGAGGCACTATGCTGCGAGGACTGTACTATTTGCCTTTTTGTGAGGGACAGAAAAGAAAAGTTTCCTGACACCAGTTTGCACGAGGCAGCTGGGTTTTTCTCCACCTTTCTCTTAGCAAGTGAAACATATTTTACTGTGACCATTTTAAGAAGGCTGAAATTCAATAGTTAAGAAGATGTGTGTTAGAAAGCATCAGCTAAAAATGTTAGTGTGTGACTGAACTCAGGCTTCTTACGCTGGATGGCTCCCTGTGCTTGTGCCGACTTTGGACTAAATGAGTTTCTAGTCTTCAGATTAAAAGCAATGGTGAATCAGCAGCATGGAACTAAGTCAAAAGCCTAAGGATATGGTCCTGAGAAGTGGCAAATATCACCCTCATGGTGGTGTTGCCACCTTCTCCACAAAGTTAGATGAGCAAATATTCAGAATGGAGTTGTACTATGAGCCAAAATTTATTTTAATTGTAATTTGAGAGCCATGTTCACTTAGCCACTTCAACCAACAAATGCAAAAAACATCACTCAAACAGCTCCTCAGTCAACACTGAAATGGTGCCTCAGCACCAACCTTTCCATAGAGCAAACACTTACCTGCCTTCTCTGATGAATCCTTCTGCTGTTTCAATCTGCTTATTGAGTTTCTTCACTTGTTTATAGAGAGAGAAACACTGCTTATGGTCTTGGTCAAGTTTCAGACACTCCCGGACTTCACTTTTTACATGGAGAAGGAAAAGCAAGGCACATTATGAAATTCTACACAAAGACACAGTGCAGTACCTATAAGCCATCCAGAACATGGCATGACTTCTTTACACGCTCACTCTCACACACTCGAAAAAATTCACCCAGAACCTAAAGTGAGTGAAAAGAGAAATTCTTCCTGAACTCAGGAAACATTTGTCATTGCTTTTAGTTAGGAGCTATATTAGCACCAGAATAAGCAGCAGCAGCAGAAAAATAAATAAATAAATAAAATCTATGAAACATTGAGTAGTGATTCTTGTGAACCTGTGATTCAACTGATTCTCCTGTACATTCAGCTTAGCTATATCACAGCAAACTTATGCATAGGCATATTTTACACTTCCTGAAACAAAGCTCAGGAAAACCCCAAAACTCCAGGAATATCAGCCAAGTTTTTCAGTCTGATTTTTCACACTGAAGATGCTTTAAACAGGCCTCAAGGCAGAGGCCCTTTTAATGGGAGTTCATGTCTCCAGAATGCTGTCATTAAGGAATGAAACTTGTCTACTCATCCAGAGTCATCATCACACAACTAATATGGGATTTTCAGAAGATACCAAAACATTATGCTATTCTCAAGCAAGGAAAGAAAATGTGAAAGTCATTAAATCTGCAAAGGGAAGAAAAAAGAAATAGGAGAAAGATTAATTACTTAATTCAAGAGCTATAAAACTTTAAGCTTTTTTAGTACATCTTATGATGCAAAAAGTAGTCTCACAGCAGAATAATGCAACAGGAGAGAGGCCTGTTCTTCCATTCCAATACCATTCTATTATTCCAAGAGCTCCCTCAAGGGCATGTATAAAAATCTTAGATCTGGGTATTAGCACAGGAGTTCCTTGTGTGATTTCACAAGATGAAGTGGGCTATAAGCTCCAGAGGTGAAATATTCTAAACAGGGGAACTCCAATGCTCAGACAAGTCGATGAGGTGATATTTATAATGATGAGCATGTATTTTTGCCCAGGTGTAAAATGAAGTCACGCAACCGCTGCCACATGCTGTTGTCACATGCACCTCCTTGCCTTTGGCACACAACAACCAACCAAAGATCTCTCCACCAAAGCAAGTTTACAGAAGCACGTTTAGAGAAGCACACAGGAAAAATAAAATAAAAATAATAAATGCAAGCAAGTGATCGACTTGCATTATGGCATTCATTTGGAACAAGATACCAAGAAGCACTGCTGGCTGCTCTGCAGAGCAGCAGCCTTCGCTGCTGGTTCAGACTGCAGCTGCTGCTCCACGAACGGCTCAAACACCCCCCCACCACCACCACACCATGCAGGCAACAGGGTTATTTCAACTACATCTACTGTCTCCATTCTTACTAATAGGATACACAGTAAAATTACCTGAGCGATAACTCATGGTCCCCAAGCTGATAATATATTCGGCTGATTTTATAGAAGGCTTCCGTGTTATCACTCTTTAATTTGGCAGCAGCTTTCAAGTCACTAATGGCTTTACTTGGCTCTCCTTCTTTTATATAGCACTCGGCTCGAAGTTCACGCAGCTCTGCATCCCAAACACAAACCTTGAGAAATCGAAACGAAAGCTTGACTTTGGGCCATAAACACTTCACTTCATTCCCCCAAAAGAGCAGCCCCGTTTCATTTCACTTTGCCATCTGCACTAGCAGAAGGCTCAAGCAGCACATGGAGCACGTGAAATCAGCAGCTCTGCTCCCTGCTAGCCAGAAAACAAAGGCCTGAAAGATTCTTGATGAGTCAATGAGCTCACGCAGGGAGACAGATTGCACCCACTGCGTGCCCTGGGCCAGGCTGCGGAGCCTCAGGGGTCACAGGTGACTGCACCTTCCCAAAACGGGCAGGGAAGCGAACAGCAAGACCCAAGCTGCCAGCTGTCTTGGAGAAAGCAAGCTGGAGGTGAGCTTCTGCTATGCCTAGTATCTGGATTTTGAAGAGTTATACGGAAGTAACTATGTTGCTTAATGCCAAGGGTAATCACTTGCAACAAACTGCTTTGTGCAATTCATTTTATAGTATTTACCCATGGCTTTATCATTCGTTTTTAAACCCCAGTTTTAGACCACTAGGCTTTTCTCTTCTTTGCCATGCTCCTCTCCATAAGCAATCTTTGTCAGTTTCTTCAGTGCAGGATAGAAGTGTATCATAAATCCCAAATCAGTAATGTTAATTTACATGTAAAGTCACGGCAGTTAACTGGCATTGAATCTACTGTAAGACACAAGATGCTTATGGGACTGAGTTATTCACACACAACACATTATCTGACCCCCCCGACTGAATCAGGCTCACGTACACATAAACGTGCTGAGGAATAAGCTGAGACTATGGATAGCTATATAGATTTTCACCTTTCATTACTTTTCTCAAAAGAAAGCACTACCTCACAGTGAAGATGAGCCTATAGAGTATGATATTCAGCATTCATGCTAACTGTCTAAGAAAAACCTAAATATAAAACATCCCTACTTCATCTGGCAAAATTTCACTGCTTTGATAACATGTTTTGGTTCTTTTGCAACTTCCCCCAAGAATACTGAACCATGGAAGAAGGGAAAGGATAACCAAGAAAGTTACCTAGAACAAAAGTTTGGCTGAAATCATACCTTTAGCTACAGTGACCTACTACTCTAGCTTAGCTGCAGCTAGTGCTCAGCCCTGTCCACTCTCCAACTTTATCAGCAACTGCTCTTGAGCCAGTCAGTCAGACCAACTGTTTTCACACTGGTGAAGACGACGTTCAAATACGAGTACACAGATGTCAGACGGAGCCCTTAATCCTCTCCCACACCTCACACTTACTGCCAGGATTTCATCCAGGAGAGAAATGGCACCTCCGTAGTCCTCCTTTTGGAAGGCAGACACGGCCTGCGCGTGCAGGCGCTGCAGCTCGTCGGATCTGCTCAGCTGAGCCTGGGCCTCCTTCTCCTCCGTACTGCTGGGATTGGATTTGAGCTGCAAACAGCAACAAGAAGAGAGACTGAACTCGTCCACTTGAGCCTCGTTCAAGGATCTCTGTCCTATTAATAACGGTATCATGGAAAACTGACTGAAGCTGTAAATTAAGCAAAAATAGTTTTAAAAATCTACCGAGGACATTTTCAACTCCAAAACTCAAATAAAAATTAGTCTTGCCTTTTGTACAAGTTGTCAAAACAGAGGCAACCCTTAATTACTCCCCTCACCCTCTTGACCAATTTCCATTGGATACACCGTACACTGGTCCCTCCTGGAAGTCAGGGGCCTCCTCAGCTCTGACCTAATTCATTCCTCTCTTTGCAGCCAGCTGTTAGAAATGGGATTTCTCAGTGCCATTTACTAAGTATATCCACACATTATCCAAATAAGCCAAAATTCTCACAGACAGCTCTGATACCACCCAGGAGGGCAAATGGGGCCAGGAAAAATCTCATCTATCCCCTTGCAGAACTCAGACATCATCTGCAGAATTACTGTAGCTTGAGCAAGACACCAGCTTCCCCTTGCAGCTGATCAGAGTGACTTCCAGATAGAAAGAAGAATTGATCCTTCCATTAAAACTATTATTACTAAACTTGCATGACCTTACATTTTAAACATGTAATTTCTTCTAAAATTAAGAGTCCTCAGAGTCATGCAGCACTCACGTTCCTCCTTCAGCCTGAAGATCTCTTCCTACATTTTTTCCTCATCAGCAAGTTCTTCAAACGTTCATATTAAGTCTCTAGCATAATATAATGTAATGTCGGCCTTAAGAACTCCTTTAACAAGATGTCCCTGGTTCTAACACTTGAGCATAGGAAAGCAAAAAGGAAATCTGAGCAAATGCAAGCCTAAATACAACATCAAACACAGGCACAGATCCCACCTCTGTCTTAGATTCTCCATTTAAGGCCTTTGTGAACCTTATGCAGTTATTTAGCCTACCAGAAACCAAGTCGTTTTTAAACCCGTAATTTCTTTTACTTCCCTTACACCTCTTCTCCCTCAGCAGTAGAAGGGAGTGTGACTGGATTTTGCCTTTGTAGGCTGGTGTGCACTAGGCATCTCAAAAGTGCTTCTGGTTTAGATAAAAACTCTGCAAGGTTCTCACTGCTGCATTTTCTCCCCAGATCTGAGGCTAGCAGCACAGCCAAACTTCTGCATTTACATTTTTAAAAGCTGCAGGACTCCAAACCAACATATTTTCTGACCACTGTAACTCAGCAGTTATCTAAATGTATTCTTTTAAATACAGAAATTTGTACGTAAGTGTCTTCATCTTACTATCCATTCATCCACCGGGTGGCTGAAACCTTAAATTCCCTTTTGAGTCCTCCCACCAATGACTGAGATGATCGCTCTGGCTCTCCCAAACACCTCAAAAATCTCACCTTTCATCATTCCTTCCCTCACTTCGACCATCCCTCACTCATATCAGGAAAACATTGTGCTCTTGGGAATCTCAGCATGTTTCTGGTCACTTATTTGCAAGAAAAAAAAAATCTGTGCAATATGGAAAACAAACGCTATGGGGATTATCAAAACTCCCACAGACCCATTTGAGTGAAACATCCTGGAAAATCTGAGGCGGCACAAACCTTGCAGTAACAGAGCAAAGGGAAATCTTTCAAACACTCATTGAACTCCTCACTCAAAGCCAAGAGTTTGCATGCTACAGGATGGTGAAAACACACACTCAGCAGAAGCTTTTAGTAAGTGATCGGTATTTTGCCATTATGCTCTAATCCATAATGTAAATAAAGGAAGAGGAAGAAAAAAAGGAAAAAAAACTTGTTCATTAAGCACACAGAGGGAAAAAAAAAAGGAGTTGGAAACATGGCTTAATATTCTTATATTGGTTTACTTTAAGCTTTTTTCATCCTTTTGCCTAGTGATGAAAGGACTGCCACATCACAGCTGACAGCTGACCTGCAATTCAATTTACTCCCTATTCTCCTGTGGGACATGAAACTCGAGGGCAACAAGTCAAAGCAACTGCTTGCACCTTGGCAGGCCCCAGACAAATCAAAGAACAAGCACTAAGTGCCCTAAACTGCTACGAAAGGAGTAAAGGATTAACATCAACAAAGAAAAACTACACCAGCTGAATGAATACAGGTCTTAAAAAAAAAATCTATTAGTCCATTTGCTTCATGAGGGCCTCAATGCATGGATTTAAAGGTGGGCAGTACTCAGGACTGCTGAGCAAGCCCGTTGCTGCTGGTGAACACATCTGAGGAAGAGTGACTGCTTTTCAGCACAGCATCTTCTCTTCCCCTACAGGTTTGCTACACCTGGATGAGAAACATTAGATTAGCACACAGCACTTTGTCCTGACTTTTAAATCAAGCCAGTATAATTCACAAGTAGAAAGCAGTGAGAGGAGCACTGTCCTCCTACCAGTGCAGAGCAATGCAAGAAGCAACGCCATACAGGAAACACGTTCCAGCTCTGCAGCTTTAACTGATGAAGCCAAACAAGCAAATAGGCCCATAGCTGCCAAAACAAAGAACCTGAAACACATACCCTAAAAATGCCCCACGGAAGCACAGCAGGTAACTACAGGTGTAATATGTGGTTACTCGTACGACCAGTGGGCATTATTTTCCTGTTTAAAGAGTTCGTATTATAACCTTTATGCACACTTAGCACTAATTAGCATAACAAATTCTTAGTGTAAGCTAAAAAGGAGACAAACTAAGAAAAAGTGCAGTGTCAGAAACATTAGCAGACTTAACCACAAATACTTTTCAATTTCTGGAAACAAACAAAAAACCCAACACCGCAGCATTTCTAGTAGAGCCGGCACAGGCAACAGCAAATCCCCAAGCCAGTCCTCAACCACGGCGTATTCCAAGTCCTGCAGGCTGGAAGACAAGGGGAAAAACCTATAGAGCTTCTTTCCATCCCCCAGAAAACCCCAAGAAAGCCAAAATGTCTCAGGTGTGATGTGAAGGCACAAGAGTGGACAGGGAGTGCAAGAGTGTGTGCACTGTGCGGAGATGCAGCTCGGGTGCGTTTGTCTAAGTGCAAAGTCTGTCTGACTAGCATTTGTCTGCAGTGTGACTAAGTGCAAAGGAATGGCCACCACGCCATGGGAAAAGGCAGAAGAGATAGACCTCAATATGCACCTGCATCTCGAGTCATTAAATTTGAAACATGAATGAAACATATGGCAAAAACTGAAGTCTGACTGCACTGCGTACTGCATGGTAAATGATTAAAACAACAACAAAACAAAAAGAATACCCAGTCATGACAGAAAATACATCTTAACAGGAGAACATACAAAAACAAAACTTTCCTAACAGGCAACCTAGCTCAGTTGTTTAGTATTTTCACTGCTTTCTCACCCAGGTCACACCGTAGCCTGTTGGCAGGTAACAAATGCAGCAAAAAAAACAAACCAAACCAAACCAAAAAAACCCAGCAACCTCTAAAAAGCAACCAAGGTCAGGAACAGCGAACGTCTCTACCACAAATTTATTTTATAATTTAAAGATTAATCTCAGTGTATGGGGTGAACAGTCCAGAGCAAACAAAGCCCCCACTTTTTTGCAAGTGAGCAAGACTAAAGAGAACAAAGTCGTGATCTCATTTTATTCCAAGAGAGCTTTAGGAGCATTTGAATTTAGACTTTTCTTTACTCCTAGTGAGGAAGCTGGTTTCCTTCTTGACTTCAGTCAAGTCCTAACTCAGGACTTGACAGAAAACTTGACGACACGTCTCTTGCTAATATGCTTTTGCACATGTCCTGTGCAGCAATTCACTCCATCAAATGCAGCATTTTTGGCGCCTAGAAAGTGTTCAGTTCATTCCTATCCGAGGTTATGAAATCCACACATATGGTAGGCTTGTATTTGCAGTTAAATATCCACTATTTACAAGTTTCCTTCTGAGCAAAGCATTGAGAAACAACTTACAAAAATCCTCAACTCTGCCATACTTCATTATATTTCATAACTTTTGTCAACCTGACTTTCTAACCATACACACAAAAGCTATATATAAATACAACACATTGACACTATTGCTTAAGAAAACACTTAAATGGAATAACAGCAGTGACAAAAACATGAAGCTAGACTGACAGCAGATAAATTACATGGAATCTATTGGCATTTCGTGGGTCGGATGCAGCCAGCCTGAAGCCACCACACGCCGTTCTGAATTAATTTAACTGTCTGACTAGTTGCAGTGTGCTGTACTTGCACATATCTTGCAGTTAAAGCCTCTGGATGAGCAATCCTTTCTTTATTTCATGAAGCTTTATAGTGTTCTGTAGCATCATGCTAAGGAAAGGATCCTCACAGACTCACAGAACAGTTGAGGTCGGAAGGCACCTCTAGAGATTATCTAGTCCAACCCCCCTGCTCCAGCAGGGACACCTAGAGCACGTGGCACAGGGTGGCATCCAGGCAGGTTTGGAAGATCTCCAGAGAAGGAGACTCCACAGCCTCTCTGGGCAGCCTGTCAGATTTGTCCAGCAAAGAATGAGACTAAGAAAATGCCTCAGTGGCAACTGACTTAGCCAAGGAGAACGCTAATACTGTGTCAAGGGCAAACAGGTAGAGTGATTCCTCTAGCAGCTCAGCTCCACTGAGAAAAGTGTCCTCAAAAACAGAAAACCTGCTGGAGGTCACACCACTGGAAACACTGAGCATGCAGCATATGACTGTTTGCTGAGATTCATCAGGACTTTCTGCTTTGGGATTCCTTTTTTCTTTCCCTCCCCTCTAAGCTCTTCCCCAAGCCTCAAAAGGAGAGTGTGGCAAATACAAGCAAGCTCACAGCCTTGCCATGGACCTCTCTTGCTTCCAGCTATGTAGTCCCACATCTTCCTCTGCACTGGCTCTGAATATCTAGCTTCTCATTAACACCACAGCCAAAAGCTTTGCGTTTAAGACAGGAATCCTACAGAACTACAGTATCTTCATTAGTAGGTATCTTCATTAAAAAAAATAATTTATAATGTGTTCGAGGAGTCTAGGTTAAAGATATTCAGCTGCAGCGTTTGTGCCATTGCATATATTAGATACTGATAATAGCAACAAATATTATTAAATATGGTAGCTTTAAAAAGATTAAGAAACTCCAGACTGCAGTTTTCCGATAAATAAACTTTTTGTCATGTAGCTGGCTTACAGGGAAGCTGTGCTACTCATGTGGGCAGACAACTACAAATTCTGGAGCTGTTTTGTTTTTCAGTGGTGAACACACAGACAGCAAAAACAGACTGATCTGAGGAGGGCTGAAGGAAAGCCCATAGCTTGTGTTATTTACAAGGCAAGCATCCATAACCTCAGGAACATGGCAGAGGAAAATTCTGTACCGACAGAGAGGCCTATTAGGTAGCACAGCTACAATTCTAGACAGATTGAAGAAAGGAAGTATTGAAATACCTCTCTGCCTTCAGTAAGGAAGCTACAGATGAGCACATTACCACGGAAGAAACTACTGGGAAAGAATCTAACACTAATTGCAACCCGAATCTTTTTTTAAAAGCAGGAAAACCCACAGATATCCAAGCTGACCTTGCTCAGTACCTTACCTACTGCACTAGAAGTTACTGTGCTCTGCACAGGAAGGTGCCCTTCGCCGACACCAGAGCAGGGTCGCTACACCCAGCAAGCAGCTGGGGGAAGGTGCCACGGGCATCTCAGCAGCAGCAGCTGCAGGAGGCTCCTCCGCAGCACGGGGCACCCACCCGTGAGCGGCCCTGGCGCTCGGTGACCGAGTCTCGGCTGACACCTAGCGGAGGGAGAGGCGGCTCTTTCCGCTTCCAGCTTGGAAGTGTTTGTGAAATGCTTGGTTGTGTAATCCTGTCTCCCTTGGAAGCGGACTGAGGGCATCTCGGTTTACACTGCTTGTTGCCACGAACTGCAACAGTGAGTCAAAATAAATAAATTATATATATATATGCACATATATATACACACACACACACAGAGAATTTTAAAAGAAATATGACAGCTGGGCCCTTTGCACGCTTTCCAGTGGCACAGGAGAACCTCTGTGCCTGATACAGAGTTCAGTAGCCCCCTTCTCCTGGGGGCTTTTATACCGGGGGCCCAAGGCGGGTGCAGGAAATTTTGGCACCACGTGGCAGGAGGCTGCCAGCACTTGCAGCTCCTGTCTCCTTTTCAGAGGGCCTTCCTCAAGCACAGCGTGCCAGCGTGCCTTTTATTTTCCCTAGGGGAAAGGAAATAAAAAACAACCCACATGCTTAAAAATAAAGGCTTTCTTTGAGGGAGGCCTTAGATGGGAATGTTGATGTGCCCTCAAAGTGGCCCTGTTGACTTGATCATTTAGAAGCTGTGAGCTAGCAGGGCACCAGGCTGTAACAACAGCAGCAGGGCTGGAGCAAGGAAGCACTATCACCCCACAGCACAGAGCCCCTCAAAGGGTGTCTGCTTAGACTGCCCACGTGCAGCAGCACTTAAAGCCGAGGGTTAACACCCCCGTGTCTGACACACACACACACACGTGGAAGGCCCACGTAAGAGCCCAGCACATCTGGGAGCAAAAAGGAGAGCATTCACAAAGCGCAGAGCTGCACAACACATGGAGGGGCCAGCCTGAGTCACCCTCCCTTGCCCCAGCCTCCTGGCGATTCACTTCAGCTAGCAGGGAATGCAGTGCCCTGCTAGCTGATAAACTTCTGCAACACCCAGGGGCAGAGGAAAGAGCATTTACAGACAGCTCATTCATTACACCAGTCACTGCAAAGTTTCCATAGGCAGCATTTTACTCTCCTGCATACAAGTTGCTCCAAAAAGCCTCATCCTACCTCTCTGTCCTTGAGTGGTCCAAGTAGAACTACAATACAGAACTGAACTTCCCCACCCTGGTGCGATTTCTCCAACTCAAAAGTGGGGAAGATTCTAAAATCTGATCTCCTCCCTTAAAAATCAACACCTGACAAACAGAAAAAAAAAAATGAGTGAAGTCACACACGGGATAATAGATCCACTAGCATCCAAAGGCATACAACCTACTCCTAGGAATACTGACTTCCACAGGAAGGAGTCCATCTCTTCTAAGCAACTATTTGCTTCAGGAAAAGATAAAAAAGTAAGAGCTGTCATACTAAAGCAATCAAAAAAACAAACAAACAAACAAAAAACCCATTCATTCTTGTAGGCCTGTATCATCCTCAGAATCATCCAAACTGAAAATTTGCACAGATTTTAAAGTTTTTTCTTCAAAATAGGGAGAATTCCCTTACACTTAAAAAAAAAAAAAAAGTGATGAGACATTATTTTTTTAATTCAGCATCTTTTAATGATATGTGACTTCTAAAGGCTAGGTAGGACCAGATTGCTGCCTGCCTGGCTGCGACACTATTCCCAAACTGAGAGCATGCACACAATGACGACAGCGTGGCCAAAGCCTCACCATAATTTAGCTCCAGATTCAGACACTTGTTCGCATGCTAGATGTCTAATCTCCTATTCTAGTCAGTAGATATCCTGCAAGCACAGTCAGAACCTGGACAGCTATTCAGATCCTCCTCACCTACACTTATATTTAAAGGACTTGCCAGAGTACAACTAGTTGTTTTTTTGTTTGTTTTTAAAGACACTTAAAGCATTGGTATAACAATGAGACTACCTGAAAAAATTGGAGAGAAACAGGGGGAATTTGCTCACTGGCCACCTAAACTTCTACTTAAAGATGTAAGACAAGAAAAAAGAATGTTAGCCTATTACAGAGAATCACTTTAAATACTGTCTTACTTTGCTTAAATAGACTGTATTTAACAGAAGATTGAGCCCTTCTCAAAGAACAGGGTAAACAATATATTTTGAAGTTCATGAGCAGCATTGTTCATAGAACCAAAGAAAAAGAAACCAAGACTTAGGACCAGCCTGGTATCTTTGTACTAGTCATCCCCTCAGAAGCAGCCCTGGGCTCATTCAGCACCTAAACCAAGGACTGAAACCATGTGCCCAACTGAAATCCTAAGTTTCTGTAGCTGGTTTTGATCAGAGAAGCGTTTCCATACGCGTTGTTAAGCAACAAACACTCTGAGGAAGACAAACTGCAGAGACACACACACACACAAGCTCAGAATCAACACCGGCGTCATGTACCTGTTGCTGCAGTGACCACGTCCTCAGCTAACTGGAGCTAACTGATACTCTCCCACATCAGCAAACAGCAGAGCTGCCCCAATTTACCCTGAAGGTCTGTAAACCACAGTGGTTTTTTCTTATACACTCTTAAGATTCCCATCAGACATCAGTAAACTGCACTCCAAAACTGCTTTCTGACACACGTCAAAGAAAGCCAATAAGGCTGCGTACAGCTACATTAAAAAAATCTGTTTATTTTGGCATATGGGACAGCCAAATTGTTCAACAAACCAGCAACTCCTGAAGAGCAAACACAGATAAGAACGAATGCTCTGAGTAATACCCAGCTGAGTTTGTATGGAAGCTCTGGGCGCTTCCTGGTCCCGACGGGAAAGCGTTGGAAATGCTTTCCTGGCCCTGGGGAACGGCTTTGCAGGCAGAAGGAATGCACACGGATGCCATTCGGGTTCACCCGAGGTCGAGATGAGACCTCGGCTCAGAACTCAAGCTTAAAAGCAATGATGTAATTCAACCTAGGCCTCCAACTTACCACATTTTTAAAGTCATCCTCTGCTTCGTCAAATTTTCCTTGCTTAAGCAGTAGGTGCCCTCTCTGTAGTCTTGCCTGAAATTAAAAGAAAATTTATTTTTATTTGTAAATTGGAATACAGGAAATTATGAAAGTAAGCTAACAGAAACTTATTAAACCTTTAATAGACAAAAAAAAGTTTACATTTAATAGAAGCTAAAAACTGAATCAGAGATGACAACAGCTTTTCTTTGCCTTATCAATTCAACATGTTTTATTAGGCCTCTGATGCAATCTAAAGAGGATACGCCACTGCAAATGGATATAGGAGGTAAGAGAGAAAATAAATCAGATGGAGAACACTCCCGCATCAGTTTCCAGCTAGTGAGGCAATCCCTGCTCTCTACATGGTGAGCAGAAATGAGCAACAGTCTCATAAGAAGGTAGTGATACTAGGTAGGTCCTTTGAGAAAGGGATGATTCAGATACAGATTAGACAAAAGAAAGCAGAAGCCCCCACTCCTCCTTTCCTCTGAGGGCACAAATTTGACAACTGAGAGGAAAACTGCTACAAGTGAGCAAAGGAAAACATTCAATAAAGATCTATAGGAAACATGAACTTATTATTAGTTATTAAAAACAGTCTAGCCAGTTATTCTAAGTTCCAGGGCTTGCCATTGCTATTTTTCCATTTAAATCCCCCTGTACTTTGTTTAGCAAAATGTGAAAAACACTCTTCTCTGAAGCAACTTTTCTATGCTTGAACAATTTTCAATTCCAGTCATACTCACCGATGTGAAGTCCTGCTTTAACTCAACCACTTTACTTAAATCACGAATTGCTGCTTTCGATTTGCCCATGGCTAAGTACACTGTGGCTCTTCTGTAATAAGCAATGTAGTTATCTGAGTCTCCCTCTGCAAGGGAATGAGCAATAATCAGAACAGTGTCTCAAAGCAATTGAACTTTTGGATACAGCTGAACTGCAATGACTAAAAATACATTACTTGAGTTTAGAACCACTGGGAAAAGGTATTTATCAATAAAACATTTGTTCCAAGCAGTATTTCTAATACAGTTTGATTATAACAATGCCGATAACAGAAACACAGTAAATTCCAAATAAAGAGCTTTGAAGGTGTTATTCGGACAGGGTTTTTATAGGGGGAAAAAAAAAAAACAAAACAAAACAAAGCAACCCCTCCACGCACCAGTCACTGCATACTAAGCCTTTATCTCCAACTGCAGGCCCACTTTTGAAAGCGTGTTAATCCACCACTCTCCTTCCCAGGCCCTGTCCATCACAGAAGATGGAAACAATCCCCAAAGAACCAATCTATATTAGCCCAGTATGGTTACAGATGCAAAACGCCTTTATATTTATCATTAAGATAGTAGCAGAGCCTTTATTTAATATTAAGTGGGCAAAAAAACCCTATCTTAATGACAGCCAAAAACATGAAGAGTATCTAAACCAGCTTCAAAGCTAACAAATTCCATGTTGCTGGTTGAACTTCAAGATTCAGCAATTTTCATGCTTTCTAGGCCAGCACATAGGCACGTACCTTTACAGGAGGGAAACATGAGCCTCTGGAACTGAAAATTCAGACTACTGATATATTTTTCTGTATATTCCCCTCTATGCTGTATTTCAAACAAGCAGGTGACAAGTTACTGTGGCCTCTGAAGGGTGGCGGGAGTGGAAAGGGGGGAGGTGAAAGAAGTTGGGCCATGCAAACAGGTAAAAAGAATTTGTAGAGAAGAGGCCCATATCTAAGGAACAAAATGGATATTGCTCTTCCTCACATTATTTGAGCTTAAAGGTCAACTTCAAACAAATGGAAAAAACAGCACTGCCAAAAATATTCTAGCAGGTAACTGAGCTTCACAGCCAGTCATCTTTATAACCAACACACCAGTTCAAGTTGCACTATAAAAAGATACCTACTTTCTTCCTCTACAGTCTTTCAGCTACCAGAGTACTAATGTCTGTATCAAAGTTTAGCAAAGTCCCCAAAGATGCATGTCACCTTGCTGACAGCCAGAACAGTTTTGACTCAGAGTTCCCCAGTAACAGCAATGAATGGGGATTCGTATTTGCCCAGGGAGAAGGCATAAGCCATCAACTTGGTGGTATTAAAAAAAAGTGTTTAAAAATAAAAAGAAAAGAAAATTGGACAGTACCTTCAGTTTAGATGCAAGTCCAGATCTAAAAAAGGCTATTTACCTCTTTACCTCACATACGCTGTGAAGTCATACAAAAATAAGCTTCTTCTCACCTCTTCTAAAAACACAGTCTATAGGCTATGCTTAATCTCTTTTCAGGAAGGCAAAGTACAAAAAGCAGTCTGATGAAAGTTCAGGCAATGGGACTCAACACAACTTTGTACTAAACCTCTCAGCAAGGTAGGTAGGGAGACTTCCTTACACCTCCCAGCTCATCCCACCTCCCACTACTCCCTCCTTTGCAACAACACCAGCCTTCACGTGGCTGCGAGCTGTTCACTGACTCCAAGTTAGGGCTTCCGAAGCAAAAACAAAGGAGTGAAATATATGGTTACCATGAATTCCACTCAGATTACACAGGAAGTTTTGCCAGCAACACAAGAAGCAAAAGAAGCATTTCTACAGCATGGAGGAAGGAGATGTTCCCCTTTTCATTCCCCTTATGTACGCGAAGTTGATCTCGGAGAGGTTAAAGGAAATGCTAGGAGCTCAGGATCGGCGTTTCCTTTCCACTATTATAACACGGCATAAACAGCAAAGTCTCAGCAGTGTGACTGATTACTGTGTAACACCTCGGTGTTTATTCTTCCCACAGAGAAGACCCTGTACTTGTATATACACAATAAGGAGTCTGTCAAATTAAAACATACATAATTATCAAATTGCAGTATTAATAGTCATCGTTCTTCACTGGTGCCACTGTCCACCTTTCTGTTTCAATTCAAACACTCAATGCAGCAATGCAAGGACTGCTTTATCACTTTTACTAGACATTTAACTCATCAGTTTGTTGAAAACTGTAAACACCTGAATTCATTCACTAGCTGACTACAAGAGTGACAGTTAATTACAAAGCACTCTTCACTGCCAGCTTGGTATCTCAAACTTGTAGGATCCTTTTAATTGAGATTATTGCCAACTATCATTTTAAAAAGTAACACATTTCTAATATTTGTAGTGGAGCTGGAAAGTGAGAAAGGGCAGACACCTCCATTCAACGTTTGAAAAACTTCATAAAGATTAAAACTATTCTTCACAACACAGAGAGCACCTCATCAGATGGCAACACAGTCTAATTGCTTCCAGAAAAGCATCTTGGCAAACAGCAGTGACTTGCTATTCACACATCATGTTGCTTATTTAGCCGTTTCTTTTATC